GCTTTTGCCTTTGAGACAGTGCCTTATCACGTCTTTGAGACGTCTCAAAGCGCTTGACGGAATTTACTGTAAAGTGAATTGACTGTGTATTTTGTGGGCGAAAAGGCTGACAACTGGAAACAGCACGTAAAATAAAATTTCATGCAACAATAAGGATTGAGTGCTCCTGACATGTTGGGCACTTTTTTTTTCTTTTTTTTCTTTTATTTTTCTGGATTGTGTGAGAATGTTTGAGAGTCACGATCCCTGGATAATGTGATTTCGGAGACTGTGGAGGGATGAGGGGAGAGGCCGGGAGGTCAGTGATTTGACATCGGTGCTGAGTAAGCAAAATGAAGTGCTTTTTTTTGTGACGATGAAGCCTTTCACACCTTACGCTGTAAGGAACGGAGCTGACAATGAGGAACAACACAATGTATTTTTAAAATGTGTTGTTAGTTGCAGGTTCGAAGCAGAATGTGCAACTTTGCACCTCAAACGTTTCCTATTAATCTGCAGGGGTTTTAATCCAAACCCTGTCTGTATTTGATCCAGCGCCTTTCACGTCAGCAGGACTTCTCGAAGCGTTTCACAGGGTTCGCTGTGAAACACAGCGACTGTGTGTTTTGTGGGCACACAATTTGCACACAGCGACGTTCCCGTAAACAGCGTGCGTGATTTTATCCGGAGGATTGTCAGCCAGGGAGAGTGAAATTGCCTTCTCTTTTCCCCCAGCGACCCAGGAGATCTTTAACGTCTGCCCGAACAGTGCACAGACGAGGAGTGAGGTTTAACGCCTCATTTGAAAGACCGTGTGTCCAACCCTCCCCTCCAAGGTCGGCCTAGACTGTGAGCTGAAAGTCCCCGACGTGGGGGTTTGAACCCGCAACCGCCTGACTTGGAGGTGGTAGAGTGAGCGACTGAGACATAGATCTTGCGGGAAAGTGAATGAGAATGAGACGAGCTCACCTCGCCAACCAGCCCATTCCACGTTCCGTTGATTTTCTTGCCGTGTTTTCCGTTGGTCACCAGGTAGAGATCGTAGGTGAATTTGACGTACTTGGCAATCTTCTTCAGTATATCAATGCAAAATCCTTTACAGCAGCGTTTGATGTAGATGCCTCCTTCTGTTTGGTTACTGGGGGCCAAACAAAGATAAATCATCACTGCAGCGTACACAGCAACAATAGTAAAGTTACATTTATAAAGCACCTTTCATGTCAAGAGGGCGTCCCAAGGTTGGGGATGGGGGTGATCAGGATATCTATCTCACATGGTTACTATAATAATCCGCGCTTTGATACAGCGCCTTATCACCTCATCGAGACGTCTGAAAGCGCTTCACGGGATATGCTGCACAGTGCAGTGACTGTGTATTTTGTGGGCAAAAAAACGCGGCTAGTGAGGGCTGGGTGTGGGCTCGGGGCTGGGTGTGGGCTACAACAACAACAACAAGATTCCATTTATTGAGCGCTTTTCACGTCGGGAGGACGTGAAGGCGCTGGGTGTGGGCTGGGTGCTGGGGGCTGGGTGCGGGCTGGGTGTGGCTGGGTGTGGGCTGGGGGCTGGGTGTGGGCTGGGTGTGGGCTCGGGGCTGGGTGTGGTCTGGGGGCTGGGGGCTGGGTGTGGGCTGGGGCTGGGTGTGGGCTGGGGGCTGGGTGTGGGCTGAGGGCTGGGCTGGGTGTGGGCTGAGTGTGGGCTGGGGCTAGGCTGGGCTGAGGGCTGGGCTGGGTGCGGGCTGGGGTCTGGGTGTGGGCTGCGTGCTGGGTTGCGGGCTGGGGTGCGCTGGGGGCTGGGGGTGTGTGGGCTGGGTGCTGGGCTGGGTGCTGGGCTGGGTGCTGGGGCTGGGTGCGGTGTGGGCTGGGGGCTGGGTGTGGGCTGGGGGCTGGGTGTGGGCTGGGTGCTGGGCTGGGTGTGGGCTGGGGGCTGGGTGGGGGCTGGGTGTGGGCTGGGGGCTGGGTGTGGGCTCGGGGCTGGGCTGAGGGCTGGGCTGGGTGTGGGCTGAATGTGGGCGGGTGCCGGGGTGTGGTCTGGGGCTGGGTGTGGGCTGGGGTGCTGGGTGGGCTGGGTGTGGGCTGGGGGCTGGGTGCTGGGCTGAGGGCTGCGTGTGGGCTGGGGGCTGGGTGCGGGGCTGGGGCTGGGCTGGGCTGGGTGTGGGGGCAAATTATCACTATTATGGTTGACTCAGTCACCCGCACAGACTCGTCTCGAGTCAGAATTTTGTGAGTTCAAGCCCCAAGCAAGGGCTTTAAGCTCAACAGTCCAGGCTGACGCTCCAGGGCAGGGCTGGGGGGAGAGAGCCCCGTGTTGTCAGAGGTGCTGCCTTTCAGATTTTAAAAAATTTTTTGGGGGGTCAGTCGGGTGTCTGACACATGCGTAAACCCACCACTGTTGTTTAAGATCCAAACCGAGCTGAGAATTCTCCACATCCCACCTACACATGGAAATCTCAGAGATAGATGGTTGGAATGGAATGCGCTCTCTCTCTCTCTCCCTGGAGGGACGCCCCCCTCCTTACCTAATTCCGGAGAGTATTAAGCGCAGGTTGGCGAGAGCCAAGGCTTGGAGTGTGTTGTGATGGGGGTAACTGCTGGAGTCTAACCAGCTAAACCCACACCCAGCGTGGCCATTGAGAGCACTGTCTGGCCAAGCTTTCCCGCTGCTTGTCCAGCTAGGACCACCCTATCCGTTAGGGCTTTAGCTGCGGGAATAACAGGAGCTGAGGGGGAGGATTCCCTGTCCAGCTGATGAGACGTTAAACTTCACTCCACATCTGCGTCCTGTTCATTAAAGATCTCCTGCGGCGCTGGGGGAAAAGAGAAGGGAGTCTCTCTCTCTTTCTCCAGGTATCCTGGTCGACAATCTCCCAGATAAAATCACTTGTTTACTTCATGGTGGGTATGTCACTGTGCCCAAAAAGACTGCCACATTTGCCTATAAAACACACATTCACTGCACTTTCCAGTGAATCAATCCTGTGAAGTGTTTTGAGACGTCCCTGGGATGTGAAACTCTTTGATCCAGTTAGGATTTACTGAATTTCGCTGTTACTGAATATGGTGTTTTTTCCCCACCTTATGTTGCCTGGGGAAGGGAGGAGGTGGGGAGAGAGAGTGAGAGTGAGAGGGGAGAGAGAGAGTAGAGGGAAGGAGAGGGTCTGAGGGTGTTCACACATCCTGTGTGCTGCCGGGCGAAACATTAGGCAAGTTTCCTTACTCTGCACACACACACACGAGCACACACATACACACACACTTACACATGCCTCGGTTTACCAGCAATAAGTAGGAACCCGGTTGTTAGTCGATTGACGAATCGCTTTTCGAAGGTAATTATCCTTTCAAAATAAAAATTGGCCGCTCAATCCATGACTGTTTATGGGGACGTCGTTGGGCGCAATTGGCTACCGCATTTCGCCCACAAAACACACAGTATCTATACTTCACAGTATATCCTGTGAACTGCTTCGAGACGTCTTGAATACGTGATAAGGCGCTCTGTCAAATGCAAGGCTTATTATTAATATTATGGTTCTGTTACAGGGTTTCCTTACTCCACACAGAGCCTAATAATAATTCCTCCAAAACAAAAACAATAATAAATTGGTCATTTTCAATCTACGACTGTTTGTGGGGCATTGCTGTGCGCAATCGGCTGCCGCGTTCGCCCACAAATATACAGTCACTTCACTTTACAGTGTGTTCTGTGAAGCGCTTTGGGATGTCCTCCCGACGTGAAAAGCGCTATATCAAATGAGAGGATTATTATTATTATTATTATTAATGCTCTCTCTCCTCTCTCTCTCTCAGGTGGTCAGGAAGAAGGCCCACATGGCGGTTGGCTCTCTGACCATCAATGAAGAACGTTCTGAGGTCGTGGATTTTTCTGTACCTTTCATAGAGACTGGAATCAGCGTCATGGTCTCCCGGAGCAATGGCACCGTCTCCCCCTCAGCGTTCCTAGGTAACTGGCCTCTGACACCCTCTCCCCTCTCCTCCTCTCACACACTCTCCCTCCCTTTCCCCCTCCCCTTCCAACTCCCCTCTCCTCTCAGCCTCTCCCTCACTTTCCCCTCTCCTCTCTCCCTCTCACACCCTCTCCCTCCTTCTCCCACCCCTCACACCCTCTCCCACTCTCTACCCTCTCCTCTCACTCTCTCTCCCCACCTTCTCCGTTCCCCATCCTCTCCCCTCCCTTCTCACTGTATCGCGTCCCCCGCCTTTCTCTCCTCCCTTTCCTATTGTCTCCCTCTCTCCCCTCCTCTTCCTCTGGCCTCCTCTCGTTGCCCCCTCCTTTTCCTATCCCTTCCGCTCTCCCTCCTCTCTCTCTCCCCTCTTGTCCTCTCCCCCCTCTCTCTCCGCAGCCCACATTCCGAGGCTCACTCCTTCTGTTTGGCTCTGCTCTCTCGGATTGTACTGTGTGCTGTGCGAGATACGTACAGAGTGTTGCATGCTCTATGCTGCGTGCTATGCGCTCTATACTGCTGTAACTCAGTGGTTAGGGCCTTCGCCTCGCAAGTGAGAGTCCCGGGTTTGATTCCCGGCAGGATGAAACATTGGGCAAGTTTCCCTACTCCACACACGCGCCTCTGTTTACTCAGCAGTAAGTAGGAACCCGGTTTTTAGTCGATTGACTGATTGCTTTTCTGGGGTAATAATCCCTCCAAAATAATTAAAAATAATTTGGTCGCTCAATCCACGACTGTTTGTGGGGGACGTCGCTGGGCGCAATTGGCTGCCGTGTTTCACCCACAAAATATACAGTCACTTCACTTTATGGTTTATCCCATAAGGCGCTGTGTTGAATGCAGGGATTATTATCTTACATTTAAGATGCTGTGTGCTCCAGGCTCAGTTGCGATGCTCTTTGCTGTGGCTGATGCTTACGCTGTCCTCTCTCCTCTCCTCTCCTGTCCACAGAGCCGTTCAGTGCTGACGTCTGGGTTATGATGTTTGTGATGCTGTTGATTGTCTCAGCAGTGGCTGTCTTTGTCTTTGAGTATTTCAGCCCCGTGGGGTATAATCGCTGCTTGGCAGATGGTCGCGGTAAGTGATGTTAATTCGGTCGCTCAACCCACGGCTGTTTGTGGGGACATCGCTGGACACAAACGTCACTCCCCTCGCTCACTCATACTTCAGGGTCTCTGAGCTCACAGTCTAGGCTGTCGCTCCAGCGCAGTGCTGGGGGGGGGAAGAGCGCTCCATTGCAGGAGGTTCCATCCTTCGGGTGAGACGTTAAGCCTTTCACCTCGGACGTCCGTGCCCTGATCAGGCGGACGTTAAATAATTCTGGTGGAAAAGAGAAGGGATTTTCCCCCAGATCAATCACGGGGCATTGCCATGTGCAAATTGGCTGCACTTTTGCACACAAAACACATAGTCACTGCACTTCACAGTGAAGCCTCTGCGAGACATCTAGATGTTGTAGGCGCGGCGTCAAATGGCAGGATTAAGGTCATTGTCCTCACAAGAAGTCTGTCTCGGGACCAAAGCCCTCCGCTGTATTTCCAAAGGCATCGTTCAGCGAGCTAGATATCTGAGGTCTAGTTACAGCCTCCATTGGCCAAGGAGATGAGTTGAGGCCTAGTCCAGGGCTCCATTGACCATGTGGATGAGTTGAGATGATAACTACCAATGTTTTGTCCGGTAGCTCAGTGGTTAGACCCCCTCACCTCGCAAGGATTCGATTCCCAGGCAGAGCGAAATGTTGAGAAAGTTTCCTTACTCCACCCACATGCCTCTGTTTACCCGGCAATACGTAGGAACCCGGTTGTTAGTCAATTGGCCGATTAATTCAATTCAATCCAGGACTGTTTTGTGGGGGCGTCGCTGGGCACAATTGGCTGCTGTGTTTCGCCTACGAAATACACAGTCACTACGCTTTACAGTGTGTCCTCTGAAGCGCCTTGAGACATCTCGAAGACCTGATAAGGCGTTATATCAAATGCAAGGATTATTATTGCCACACTGAAGCCAAATTTAAACCTATTAGGTTAGCCGGCGAGAGGAGAGCAGAGTGGCTGCGTGGATTAACCATTGCATGCCTTGCTCGTTTCAGAGCCTGGAGGACCCTCCTTCACTATCGGCAAAGCCATTTGGCTGCTGTGGGGGCTGGTGTTCAACAACTCTGTGCCGGTGCAGAATCCAAAGGGAACGACGAGCAAAATCATGGTGTCCGTCTGGGCTTTCTTCGCTGTCATCTTCCTGGCCAGTTACACAGCCAACCTGGCAGCCTTCATGATCCAAGAAGAATATGTGGATCAAGTGTCCGGCCTGAGCGATAACAAGGTGAGTTAGGCCCAAAGTCCTCCCTTCCCCATTCCACGCTCCACCAGCCTATCACCCCCATCCTGTAGTTCAGTGGTTAGAGCACTTGCCTCTCAAGTGAGATATCTGGGTTCAATTCCCGGCAGGGCGAAACCTTGGGCAAGTTTCCTTACCCCACACTCCTAATAATAATCCCTCAAGAAAAAAAAACAATAATAAATTGGCCATTTTCAATCCACGACTGTTTGTGGGACACTGCTGTGCACAATTGGCTGCCGCATTTGCCCACAAGTGTACAGTCAATTCACTTTAGTCTATTCTGTGAAGAGCTTTGAGACGTGGCTCAGTCACTCCCACTCTCATCCTGAGGCGGAAGGTTAAGGGTTCGATCCCCGTGTTTGGGACTCTGAGCTCACGGCCTAGGCTAATGCTCCATTCTCACTCAATAAGTGCATTGATGGGTTTCTGTGTGTGTCAGACACCCGGCCGGTCACGCTGACGGGTTTCCGTGTGTGTCAGACATCCGGCCGGTCACGGTGACGGGTTTCCGTGTGTGTCAGACACATGGCTGGTCACGGGGATGGGTTTCAGTGTGAGTCATACACCCGCCATCTAGACGTTAATTAAATCACCCCTCAACCTTGTGATCTTGTGATTTCTTTTTCTTTCCACAGTTTCAAAGTCCCAATGACTTTTCGCCACCGTTTCGTTTCGGAACCGTCCCCAACGGGAGCACAGAGAGGAACATCCGCAACAATTACCCAGAGATGCACTCATACATGACGAAGTTCAACCAGAAGTCTGTGCTGGATGCTCTCGTGAGCCTCAAGGCTGGGTAAATTCTGTTTGGTCTACAATGAGCGGAAACCCGTCACCAGGCGTCTGTCACACATGGAAATCTGTCACCGTGACCAGCCGGGTGTCTGACACACACAGAAACCCGTCACCGTGACCAGCCGGGTGTCTGACACACACAGAAACCCGTCACCGTGACCAGCCGGGTGTCTGACACACACAGAAACCCGTCACCGTGACCGGCCGGGTGTCTGACACACACAGAAACCCGTCACCGTGACCGGCCGGGTGTCTGACACACACAGAAACCCGTCACCGTGACCAGCCGGGTGTCTGACACACAAATGCGCGGAAATCCATCACTAGGATCACACCCCCAACACCCCATTGGAGCGTCATCGTAGATTATGTGATTCCATGACCTGACATGGGGCTTGAACCCACAATTTTCTGACTCCTAGACGAGACACTATCACTGAGTTGATACACAATATACATCGCAAATCGAGTTAGCCTTCGGCCCGCGACAGAACCTCTCAGTAACAATGCAGCCTCTTAACAACTTAATTATTTGTGTAGATGTCCATAAACATCGTCACTAAGTACGTACAGTAATAAATTGGTTCAGGGTAATGTTCTGGTTAAGTGTTTCATTTATTTGCCGGAGTCCCCTATCGCCTTCAGTAATCAGAGTTTGCTGCTTGTAAATTGGTAGCCACTGAACAGCGCTAACACAGCACATACACACGCAAAACGGGCACCCGCGCACACACGTACACACTCACAGACACACACTCAGATAGACACCCATGCACGCATGCAGGCACTCATAGACGCACAAAATCACAGACACACACAGACAGACACACAGACACAGACACCCACAGACACACATACAACTCCAACACATCCCAACACGTACATCTCTTTTCCAACATTGCCACAGTATCTTTGTGTCAGACGCCCGGTTGATCAATGTGACAGGTTAACACACGTGAGCAGGCATGTACGGGAGCTCAGGGCATGCTGACGTGATTAGGTGCTGTATCAAACACGAGGATTATTATTATTATGATGATGATGTTGTAGAGATGATTGATCTGCTCTGGTCAAGATCACAAACGACATCCTGACCATGTGTGACCAGGGCTCCCTCTGCCTCCTCGTCCTCCTCAACCTCTCCGCCGCCTTTGACACCATGGACCACTCAATCCTCCTCCACCTCCTCCCACCTCAACCTTCAAGGTTCTGTCCTTGACTGGATCAGGTCCTACCTTTCACGCCTCCTCCATTTCGTCACAGCCACCGGCTTCTCCTCCAGTCCCCAAACCGTCGCGTGCGGTGTTCCTCAGGGCTCTGACCTCAGTCCCCTCCTCTTCATCCTCTACATGCTCCCCCTTGGTGACCTCGTCGGCAGACATGGGATAAATTTCCACATGTATGCGGATGACGCCCAACTCTATCTCTCTGCCTCCACCCTCAACTCCAGGACTACTGAGATCCTGACCGACTGCCCGTCCGACATCAAGTCCTGAATGAGGGACAACTTTCTCCAACTCAACGTCAGCAAGACCAAGGCTCTCCTCATTGGCTCTCGCTAGCGCCTCCGCACCTCGGGCAGTGGCAGCATGAGCCTCCACGGCTGCACAATCAACCTCACTGAGCCAGTCAGGAACCTGGGGGTCTTGTTTGACCCTGAACTGTCCTTTCTCCCCCACATCCGCGCCATGACCGGCACTGCCCACCACCACCTCCACAACATTGCCAGACTCCGCCACTGCCTCACCCCTCAGCCCCCAAACCCTCACCCACACATTCGTCACCTCAAGGCTCGATTACAGGAACTTCCTCCTCATCGGCCTTCCCAACTCTTCGCTTCACATCCTGCAGATCATCCAAAACTGCAGCTCGTGTACTCTCAGACTCCGCGACCCCATCACTCCCACCCTCTCCCAACTCCACTGGCTCCCCATCCCCCAGAGGATCGAGTTCAAGATCCCTGTCCTCACCTTTAAGGCCATCCATGGCCTTGCCCCCTCCTACCTCTCTGACCTGCTGACTCCCAACCAACCTGCCCACTCCTTCCATTCATCAGGCTGTGGTCTACTCCATATCTCCTGCCCGACCCATCCTATCATCGGGTGGCGGGCTTTCAGCCACTCTGCCCCCACACTCTGGAACTCCATCCCACGGTCCCTTTGCCTCGCTTCCTCCCTTGCTTCCTTCAAGGCCGGTCTCAAGACCTTTCTCTTCGACCATGCCTTTGGCCTCCCTCCCACCTCTCTGCCTTCCCTCACCCCTACACCACCCCTCCCCCATGCTTAGGCCCCGACACCTGACTGTTCAGCGCTTTGAGACGTCCTCCCGCTCTATAAATATGATTTTGTTGTTGTTGTAGAGATGATTGATGGTGTGATTTCCTCTCCGCAGTAAACTGGACGCTTTTATATACGACGCAGCGGTGCTGAATTACATGGCGGGGAGAGACGAGGGCTGCAAATTGGTCACCATCGGCAGCGGGAAGGTATTTGCCACGACCGGCTACGGCATTGCCATCCAGAAGGTCAGCGGCTGGAAACGGCCTGTCGACCTCGCCATCCTCCAGCTATTTGGCGATGGTGAGAAAGTCACTCACTCCATATACTCGCCCCCCCTCTCTCTCTTTCTCTCTTCTCTCGCTCTCGCTCACTCATAGTCGCACTCACTCACTCACTCACTCACTCACACAGTCTCACTCACAACACACACAGGCTCACTCACTCACTCACTCACTCACTCACTCACTCTCACACAGTCTCACACACTCACTCACAGTCTCACTCACTCCCATAGTCTCTCTTACACTCACTCACAGTCTCACTCACTCACACACACTCGTAGTCTCACTCACTCACACAGTCTCACTCACACACTCAGTCTTCACTCCTTCCCTCCCTCCTCCCTCCCTCCCTCCCGGGATGAGCTCCCTGTTAGTCCCGACGGGTGTCATCGTTGGGCCTGTCTTGCTGTTGTTGAGCTGTGTGTTGCTGGTGGTGACAGCGCCTGTGAATAGTGTAGCAGGTCCCAGTGAGTCATGAACTGCCATTAATATGTAGCTCCCGATGACATTCTAAAAGCCTCAATTAAATCCTTTTGCCTGACTCCCAAACACTCTAAGAATAGCAAATGACCTTGTTTACGCACATATATCCACACATAGATTCCACACACGCTACACAACACAGACACAAAGACACACTCACAATCTCTCTCCAACGTAATTCTCTCTCTCTGGCTGTGTTGATCTCTCTCTCTATTTCTATCTCTCTCTTTCAGCGCTGATCCCTCGCTCTCTCTGATCCCTCTTTCTCTGACCTTCCTCTCTCTCTCTAAACTCTCTCTCCCTCACTCTCTCTGATCCCTCGCTCTCTCTGATCTCCCTCTCTCTGATCTCCGTCTCTCTCTCTGATCTCCCTATCTCTGATCTCCCTCTCTCTCTCTCTCTCTCTCTCACTCTCACTCTTTCTGATCTTTCTCCACTCCATCCTCCTCCATCTTCTCTCCTCTCACCTCAACCTTCAAGGTTCTGTACTTGAATGGTTTAGGTCTTATCTCTACTCCAATTTGTCTCCGCCAATGGTTTCACTCCTGATTGGCTCCCGTTAGCACTTCAGCACCTCAGGCGCTGGCAGCGTCAGCATCCACGGAGGCCCACATCCCCTCACCAAGCCAGTCAGGAACCTGGGCGTCTTGTTCGGTTCGACCCACAACTGTCCTTTCTCCCCCATATCCATGCCATGACCCGCTCTGCCTTCCCCCACCTCCGCAACATCACCGACTCTGCCACTGCCTCACCCCTCAGGCCATCAAAACCCGCCGATACGCATTCGCAAACTTGTCCTTGTCGATCTTCTCAACTCGTCCGTCCACAAGCTCCAGATCATCCAGAACTGGATCTCGTGTCCTCTCCCGCACCAGGCTCTGTGACTCCATCACCCCCCACCCTCGCCCGGCTCCACTGGCTCCCCATCCCACAGAAGATACAGGTCAAATCCTCATCTTCACTTTCAAGGCCATCCATGGCCATGCCCACTCCCTACCTCTCTGACCTGCTGACCCCCTATCAACCTGTCCACTCCCTCTGCTCAGCAGGATCCAGCCTGCTCCATGTTTCCTGCCCGACCTGCGCCAACATCGGTGGTCGGGCTTTCAGCCTCTTTGCCCCCATCCTTTGGAACTCCATCCCACATTCGCTTCCCTCTCTTGCCTCCTTCAATGCACGAGTCAAACCCCTCGATTTTGAACGTGCCTTCAACCATCCTCCTACCTCTCTGTCCGCCCTCATCCCAACCCTGATCACTTTCTCTCTCTCTCTCTCTCTCCCTCTGTGGGGCTAATCCCTCTCTGGGCTAATTTCTCTCTGGGCTGACTTCAGTGTCTCTGACTTCCCCACCTCAGGGGACATGGAGGAGCTGGAGGCCTTGTGGCTCACTGGAATCTGTCACAATGAGAAGAATGAGGTGATGAGCAGCCAGCTAGACTTGGACAACATGGCCGGGGTCTTCTACATGCTGGGGGCAGCCATGGCCCTAAGTCTCATCACCTTCATCTGTGAACATCTCTTCTACTGGCAGCTACGCTACTGTTTCATGGGGGTCTGTAGCGGCACTCCAGGAGCGGTCTTCTCTGTCAGCAGGGTAAATAAAGCCTCTCTCCATCTCCTGTAGCTCAGGAGTAAGAGTCCTCGCAAGCAAGTAAAAGGACCTGGGTTCGATTCCCGGGCAGGGGGTAAAGAGTTGGGCAAGTTTCCTTACCCCCTCCACACACACACACACACACGCGCCTCTGTTTACCAGCAATAACTAGGAACCCGGTTGTTAGACGATTGGGGGATCGCTTTTCCGGAGGTAATAATCCCTCCAAAAAAAGTATAAAAAAATAATAATTTGGTCACTCAATCCATGACTGTTTGTGGGACGTTGCTGGGCACCATTAGCTGCCGCGTTTCGTCCACAAAATACACAGTCACTACATCAATATAGTGTACTTTGCAGGATACAGTACATCCCATGAAGCGCTTTGAGACGTCTCGACGCGATGATAAGATGCGCAGTGTCAAATGCAAGGATTATTATCTCATCCCCCGGGTTGGTGGGGAGGGGTGGGGGAGGGGGGGGGGGTGGGGGGGAGCTAGGGGAGTAAATGGGGTCTCCTCGGGGCTGTCCAAGGTGAAATGTTTGTCAGAATCCGAGTTCCTGAGCCAGGTGGGTCCCCATTTCCACTGTCCACAAAATCTGTGATAGGGAGCCAGTGGCGAGGACTTATGTGATGGGGGGGGTGGGGGAGCGCTCCCCATCCTCCACCATCTGCAGCCTCTGCACCCTAAAACTCTGTCACTCAATCCTTGCCTCCTTCTTCCCCATCTTCAGATCGTGCCCGAAGATTTTTTGCTTGGTCCGTGCTTTGTGGTCTCCCCCCTCCCCACTCCCCCCCCCCTCCCCACTCCCCCCCCTCCCCACTCCCCCCCCCCACACCCCCTCGCGCGCAGTGTCAGATTCCGCCACTGTTCAGCATTCCAGGACACAACGCTGCGTGAGAGGCAACGTTGTTGTTGTTGTTGTTTATGATACACTTACTCAGCGACCCCTCACGCAGGGCAGTGGCGCAGAGCGTTTGCGTGACGGTGGCGGGCACGATGCCAAGCTGGGGGGCAGGTGGGCGTAGGTCACGGGTCGAATAGGAAGGTCTTCAGGCGAGACCTGAATATGGGGCAGGAAGGGGCGAGGCGGGTGGTGAGGAGCACGTTGATGAGGGAGGGCTGCGGTGGGGGGTCCGAGGCTCCGTGGCAGGTGAGCGCGACCAGTAACCGGCAGTGTGTGCACTTGCCGCCCTCCAGGGGATCTACAGCTGTATACACGGAGTGCACATCGAGGAGCCGCAGTCCTGTGGGGGATCACCCAATGGCACCGTCAACGACACCCACTCCAACATCATGCGGCTGCTGCGAACCGCCAAGACCATGGCCACGCTGAGCGGGGTGAACGGCGGGCAGTACGGCTCTCCCCCCAGCGCCCTGGATTACGTGGGACGGGACCCGGTGGGCTTCGAGCCCTCCGAGCACAGGCGCAGTCTGGTCCACTCGGACCTCAAGGCCTACCAGCCCGAGGACAACCTGTTCAGCGACTACATCAGTGAGGTGGAGCGGACCTTCGGCAACTTGCACACGGGCAAGGACGGTAACGGCATCTTCCAGGATCATTACTACCATCACCGGCCGCACAGCATCGGCAGCGCCAGCTCACTGGATATCCCGTACGAGTGCGATAATGCGCTGTTCGGGACCCAGACCCGGTCGCTGTCCCGGAAGCCCATCGAGATCGGTCTGCCCCTGAAACGCAGCCACTTGAGTGACAGCTACGAGAGCCACAAGTACCCGTTCAAGGGCGACCGCTACGCCCACGACGACCTGATCCGCTCCGACGTGTCCGACATCTCCACCCACACCGTGACCTACGGCAACATCGGCAGCGCCAAGCGGCGCAAACAGTACAAGGACAGCCTGCGCAAGCGCCCGGCCTCCGCCAAGTCCCGCAAGGAGTTCGACGAGATCGAGCTGGCGTTCCGCCGCAGAGCGGCAAACGCGCCCGACCGCAAGGCCCGCTTCTTCAACAAGGACAAACTGCGGGATTTTTACCGGGATCAGTTCCGCTCGAAGGAACCGGCCGCGCACTGGGAGCACGTGGACCTGACAGAGCTGTACAAGGGCCGGGAAGAGGAGGACGGTTACGGTCGGGACGCAGAGACCCCGCAGCGACTCAACCTCGTCCACCACGGGGGGCTCGGGCTGGGGCTCGGGCTGGGGCTGGGGCTCGGGATGGGGGAGTATGGAATGGTGGGCGAGAGGAAAGCCAACGCGCTGGGTCCCGCCAGCGGCTTGTGGGAGTCGAACGCTCTGGACTGGGGCGAGCACCACCCGCCCGGTTACTGCGCGGCCAAGGGTCACGGCTACAGTGCCGGGGGGCAGAGCGCCGGGCGGACAGCCTGCGCCCGCTGCGAGTCCTGCAAGAAGCCGGCGGCGCTGTACGACATCAGTGAGGACAACTCGGGGCCCGACGTGGAGCGGTGCCCGCCAGGCGGGGTCACGGTGGGGGTCGCAGCCAACGTCAAGCACCATCAGAGCCCCGCGGGCTCGGCCAAGCTCCAGCGGCGGGACCGAGGCAAACTGCGGCGGCAGCACTCGTACGACACCTTCGTGGAGACGCAGAAGGACGAGGGGGTGAGCGTCGCGCCCCGGAGCGTCAGCTTGAAGGAGAAAGACCGCTTCGTGGAGGGAAGCCCCTACGCCCACCTGTTCGAGATGCCCCCCGAGCCCCTCTTCACGTCCAGGCCCGAACCCCACAACCCGAGCGGCTACATGCTCAGCAAGTCACTGTACCCAGACCGGGTCACCCACAACCCCTTCATCCCCACCTTCGGAGACGACCAGTGCCTCCTCCACGGCTCCAAGTCTTACTTCTTCAAACCCACGATCAGCGGCAAACTCCGCTCCGACTCCCGGCACTCCGCCAAGTCCGTCTCCTCGGTCTTCGGGGCAGTGCCCGCCCGCTTTCAGAAAGAGATGTGTCCGGCCGGCCAGCCCGCGCCCTGCATGGCGAACAATAAAAACCCGCTGGGAGCGTTCAACGGAGCCAGCAACGGGCACGTGTACGAGAAATTGTCCAGCATCGAGTCTGACGTCTGAAGGACAAGGAAGGAGTCAAGCGTCCAGACCTACTCCAGCATTGTGTTAGATTCTGGCTGATCTGTACCTCATACTCCATTGACCTGCCTTCTCCCCCTTGATACCCTGACTCCAGTTCAAGTTGACCCGCAATCTTGGGCTGTGTGTGTGTGTGTGTGTGTGTGTGTTTGGGGGGTGGGGAGGGAAGGGGAAGGGAAGAATTGCGGTGTAGGAAAATAATGTTTCATTCCTAACCTAACTGGCCTAACTCCAACTTTAAGATAACACCCCCTGCCCCACCCCCTCCCCCCGCATCTTGTCCCAGGGCTTGTTTGGACACTCCCTCCACAACCCCACACACACTCACATACACCCACACACACCCCACCCCGCCCCTCGGGAAGCAAGCTGAGAGCAGGAGACGTTTGTCTGTTTGAGCTTTGTGCAAACCGACTGCCATCTTTTTTGTGTAGTGTGTAGTTTCTGTGTGGGTTGGGGTGTGTGGGGTGGGGGCGGTGGGTGACAGGGAGGGTGCAGTGTGTGTGTTTATTGAGTGGATGTTGGGGTTTTGAGGAATGGTGGGGGGGGTGGGAAGGGGCTGTTGGGGAAAGAAGAGTGTGTGTGGGGAATTGGCCCAGATTGGCAGTGGGCGTGTGTACAGTAACGAGGTTGTGATAGGTCTGTGAGCTGCCCACTCTGCCCCACACCCCTCCAGCCAGACCCCACCACATCTATCTAGGGTCACCCCTTTAAGGGGACATGAGCTATAGGTAGATGGCAGCCATATTTGAGGCTGTCATGGAGCCTGTACAGTGAGGAGGAAGGGCAGCCATATTTGAGAATGGCATGGATCCTGTATGGTGAGGAGGGATGCGGTCATCTTTGATGCTGGCATGGAGGTGTCTACTGCTGACTTAAGGGGGATCGACTATTCAGCTCCCCCACCCACCACCCCTTTGCATCACCCCTTTGCGAGTGGGAGATGAATCTCAGAGTCCCGCCAGACCTTCTCCCCACTCAGAAAGGTGTCTCGCGCTACCTAATCGAGAGCCTGTGAAAAGATTCTCTTTCCTGACGGAGGGAACCCTCGAATCCCTCCACGTCGAGTCAAATCTTAAGCACAAACAAAATGTAGGGTTTTAGCACATTCAACAGCTCGGCCTCCAGGGGGCAGCTTTCTGGAGGAACCGGCTTGGCCATGGCACTTGGCTGGTGCCACATGAGCTGGAGAAAGTCAAGGGCGTGGATTGGGACTTAGTAAAGAACCAGTAAAGTTCGGTGTAGTGATGGCAGTTTGGTCGGACGGGCATTCTGGAGGGTGAGATCAGATGAGCTGCATCCGAACTGATCTTACAATCTTGGGAAATGTGTCTTAGATTTCTCCCTCCTCCTCCTCCTCCTCCCCCCTCCCTCCCTGGCTCCCTCTCCCCCTCCCTCCCTCTCTCCCTCCCCAAACACAAAGGGATTCTCTCTCTGATGTGGAATGTGATGCTGTGTATCTAGCACCATGCTGTGTTATGCACGTGATGTCTTTTTGACCTGGGGATGGGTGGGGTGTATGTTTGGTGTTGTGGTAACAGGCAGCATGGTGAGGGCTGGCAACGCAGGTTGGATTTACTCAGCGTTCATCGCATCTGGGAGCGCTTAATAGAGAGGGCTGGACGCTGAGCCTGGGGAGAGGGCTGAAGAGGTGGGTTTTAAGGTCGGATTTAAAGAGGCAGAGGGAGTGTAGTGACTGAATGCGGAGCTGGGTCTTTTGGATGAAGTCTCTCACATTAATTCCTTCAATGAAGGGAGTTGCTTTCTTTCTCTCTCTCTCCCCCGGTGTCCTGGCCAACCATGTGGTAAATAAAGCCAGTGTCACTTAACTCCACGGATGTTTGTGGGACATCGCTGTGCGCAATTGGCTGCCGTTCCGCCCACAAAATACACACTCCACCTTACAGTATAGCCTTGAAGCGCTTTGAGACGTCTCAGCGACGTGAGTAGGCGCTATATTGAATGCAATGATAATTATGATATGTTAGTACAATGTTACTGCCCCCCTCCCACCCCCCACCCGCTCTGGAGGTTGATTGATTGTCATATTGTGAGCTTATTTGAGTGACACTATGGGTAAGAGGTCACACAAGATGTTCACCTCAGCCCTGAATTGTCGTCAAGTTGGGAAACACAATATTCAAAGCCTTGCACGTAAAGCTTCCTCTGCAATTTTTGGGAACTAGAAAATAAATGGAAACAAAACCACTGACTCCAGTCAGATTTTCGATTGCTTCGTCTTTTCAAATTTATCAAATTTCCTTCAACTCTGCTACCTGGGAATGTAGAGTGAGCTTTACTCTGTCTCTAACCTGTTGTTTCTGACCTGGGAGTGTGGACCCACAGTGTAGAGGGAGCTTTACTGTGTCTCTAACCCGTGCTGTGGCTTTCCCTGCTAAATATCCCTCACCTTGCAGTGAATGTATTAAGGGAAACTTGCAATAACACAATTAGTTATAGCTTTGACATTAGGAACATATCATAGGCTGAAAAGATTGAAATTAACTGATGACTAGATACACAAATCTGCTAGTTCAAGTTTACGAGGATTTATATAAAAATTGGATCCACAGAAATGTTTGATGTGATGTGTTAATTATCAAGAGTGGTAAATTATCACATGATGCATTTTACCCCCCTATTTTCCGGAAGAGGTCTCGGAATGTGTGCCAATAGTTGGAAACGGACCAAGTGAGTGTCCAGCTCCAAGTGTTGGCTTTGAGACGTTCTGGCTAACAAATCTGGCGGTTGTGTCCTCTTAGTCAATCAGCATAAAAGGGCTTATTCATTGCCAGTTGGCAAATGTTCCCCATTTTAAGGCCAGGATTGGGATGGATGGGTGTGGGCACCGGGGATGCAGGAAGGGGAAAGGTGACCAAAAGGGGGACGGAGGGGTAGGTCTTGAGATGGACCTTTGAACGAGGTGTTTGAGCTAAGAAGGAAGCAAGCCGGAGGGACTCCAGGATAGCCTGAAATCCTGCCCTCCGATGGTGGGTCGGGTGGGGGAATGTGAAGCAGGCTACTCGCTGAGCCAAGGAAACGGGTCAGTATGGTTTGAGGAGAAGTCGGGTAACGTGGGGTGAGAGAGTGGAGAGATATAAAGAGTGATTGCTCATCACTTGTCTTCAGGCATCAAGAAAGAGCAGGTTGAGATTGTCCCCAGGTCCCCAAACAGATGTCTTTTCCCTGTGAACCAGGAATAGATTTTTATCAACCAGTTGTGCCTAGTTTCTGCCACGAGAGACTACAGTAGCTAAGACTGATAAATTCCTTGACCAGACAAACAGAAACACAAGCCATCACAGCCTGACCTGCAGCAGGGTGGGTATCAATGGGTTTTATCTTAAGCTTCAAGGGGAGGGTGGGGGGTGGCATCTTATCTTCAATGCTTAGTTCCATTCTTGATGTCATTGACTCAGAAAGCAGGGTGCCCAAAGGAAGACTGCATCGGGTCTGTACGTGGGAGTTCCTTCAATCAATTGAAGCTCAGAGCCTTGGGAAGTGATCTTGCTGAGGTTTAGAAGCCTAGCAACGTGATTCAGGTTTAGGTCAGGCTCCTGCTGCGATCGAGAATGCAGGGGTTTTGGAGGGGCTGCAGAACCCAGAATCAAGAGGGATGTTTGAAAGGAAGACAGATAGTTCCGTGGGAGGCAGAGGTGGGTGGGGGAGTTGGCACCTCCTTAAGATCACAGACAGATTGGGATCTGAGGTCAGGAAGCAGTGTTTATGCAGAGGGAACATAGGAACAGAGTAGTTTATTCAGCCCCTCGAACCTGTTCTACCATTAGATCATGGCTGATCTGTACCTCAACTCCAAATTTGAAGGGTTGTGACGATGTGGAAAGCTCTATCTCAGGAAACTGCAGAGACTGAATCAATGGGGACGTGGAAACCAGACAGGGTAGCGGAGGGTATTACATAGGGCAGCAAAAGCCCATGACATCGAGCTTAACAAGATTTGCCAAGATATGATGGAGGAACAGGCTGGATGACGAGTCATCTTATCCTATCCCTTTGTTCCTGAGATAGGGCCAATTGACAGTCTGAGGACCACTTGATCTCCTGCCCAGGTGAGTGGCCGAGACAAGCCAGGAGCCAAATGAGGAGCTCGCCCAGACTTTGCCTTCATCAGTTTGGAGAACTCAGATTGTGTGGGGGGTGGAGGTGAGATGTCAGGCTTTGGCAATAGGGCACTGCTCCGGTTAGCGGTTGCCATAATGGAACGGGATTTTGCCCCATATAAACAGCGTTGTACATTGCTGCCTGTACAGAGCAAGCTGTGTTTGATGAGGGATTTTTGTAAGTTTAAACTTTAAGCTTTCGTCCTTTTAAAAGCTTTCTCTCTGTCCTTTTTCTAACCTTGCCTTTACTGGATATCTCTCTTTTCTCACAAAAAGACTTTCCAAATTTCGGCTCTCGGCATAATTCCCCTTTCTCTATTGCCCCATTTGCCTTTCACGATGGGTAAGTCAGGAAGGCACTCTGAGCTCACAGTCTAGGCTGACTCTCCAGCCCGGCGCTGGGGGAGGAGAGAGCACCACGTTGTCAGAAGTGCCGTCCTTCGGATGAGACGTTAAATTTCAACTCCCATCTGTGCCCTGGTCAGATGAACGTTAAAGGTCTCTCGTGGTGCTGGGGGAAAAGAGAAGGAAGTTTCTCTCTCGCAGTGTCCTGACTGGCAATGCCCACAGATAAAATGGCTCATTGGACAAAGAAGGCCATTTAATCTCAACCTTTCAGTTTAACCACTCTCCCACGCTGTTTGGTCCAGGAGTTGAGTGATCAGGCCTCAACCACCCTTCCCTTCATGGCAGGATTAGCATCCTATTCCCTGGCCTTCAGTTCACATGCTCTTCTGCTCTACGTTCTTGCCATTTCTATCGGGAATGTTGAGATCCAGCATTAAACAGGCAAGTGAGAGAGGTGAGAGTTTCCCTATTTCACAAAGTCTCAGCGATGAATGGCAGTTTCAAGCTCCCACA